GATATCAGGGCTGTTATTGGTCCCTTTACGATCGGATATCTTTATTGGCTACTGAAGTGCCGTCAAAGGTTTGAATATCAATTCAAATTGTGGGCATGCTCAGTAACGAACTATGATTTAAAAGTAACGAAGTCGATTATTTTGCTTAATTTGTACTTAAGTACAAGTAAAAGTACAGCTTTAAAAATATACTCAAAAAAGTACAAGTACCCGAAAAAACTAAATTACAATAACGTGAGTAGTTGTAATTCGTTACCTCCACCACTGTATATATGCGTGTATATATATATTTTTTGTCTATTATTTACAATTATTTATATATATATACTTTTACTTTATCGACGGAAAAATATCATAATGAGCAAAAATATGCCACAGTGGAGCGGGTCTCACGCCGAACAGCACGGTGAACGGCTGCTGTTTCAGATGAATGCAGTAGCTTAGTGTGTGCATGAGGCGCCGGCGCGATCAAACAGCTGAAACATAAAATAGACTACTCCGTCATTTTTGGTCATACAGTAAAGGCATAATTCGAAACTGCAAAGTGCAAAGTGTTAGCAGTTTGAAAATTCAAGAATAATAGCAAAGTTAATAAGAATTCTTTCTAAATGCAGCACCGTTCTTATTTCGCTTTTAATCGGTGTATTTAACAGCCTGGGAGACCTTCCCAGGGCAGTACCTTGCCTCACCGACTAAAATCAGGGCGCCCACTACGGAGACGGCACCAGAGGTGAGGGGGCACAGTGACCGAGGTGGCCGGGCCGGGCCCCCTCAGGCCCCCCCGTGGCGCCGACGCTGGTTATAGTTAATGTTCTGGTTATTTTGTTTCCGTGTACAGTTTGTTAATTTTGTGCAAACCATACAGTCAAAGTAAACTTCATCATTCAGCTGAACTGTGCACATTTATTTTAGACACTTCATGTCTTGTTCCATTCATGCGATAAACGCATGTCCCTGCTGAGCTGTGGGCTATGACTAATTTCACGGGCAAAGCAGAAAAAAATTCAATTTATGTATCTTCATTTTTTATTTTTTTATTTTTTACAAATGAAGCTTCATATTATGAGAAGGATACTTTCTACGACCTTTATCCTGCAGTCATCATGGTGAGATTAGGTTCCTTCAATCTAAAAAAAAAAACAAGAATCGAAAACAACAGTGAGGAATCGATTCTTGGAATCGATTCTCATCGATTCCATAACCAGGAATCGGAATCGGACTCGATTCCAAAAATTTCGGAATCGAACAGCCCTACATACACTGACATGCTCTAAACATTCCAGCAAAGCCATGTGTGGCACATTTTGCTTAGGTTTTATTAGCATGGGTGTTTATTGTAGTAGCTTGCATCATAATTTAGTTGGTTACAGCCATGATTCAGCTAATACAAACGTAAATGTAGCCTAATTTGGAACCTTATTGTAATTTTTACATCTAAAATCAACCACAATCAAATTTATTTTGCATCTCTTTTGTTAGTAAAAGTAAAAATCCTAATTGCTATTGATTAAAATAAACGATCGTATTTCAAATTAATAAATATGCCTTAATTGTTAACATTTATTGCAATTAATCTTACCTAATGATGGCTTAATGAGTCGGTGAGTTGTGAACTTTTAATCACTGTGATTCGCTCCTATACCGAACCGCTTGTACAGATTCGGTGAGAATCGTATACGAATCATTACACTGACACATAAAATCGAACATAGATCAAACATAAATTTTGCAAACCCGTTCAACCGGTTTATTAAAAGATCCGACTCAACAGAACTATTTGTTCATCGGTGCACTTTAATAATATTTGGCAGGTGGACAATTGAGTGGGAAATAATATTTGAGCTCTATCTTTGAGAATAATAATTTAACAATTCCTCTGCGTTGTCCAGTCCTTTGTCCCAAGATGCAGGATGTTATTAATAAATGTACGTATTTTCTTAGTAACCCAAAGGTTGTCCACACACACACAGCATGCTTGTGATGAGCGAACATGCTGCTGACGTACTTCCGCTAAATGCCGTTCCAGCTTGCAAGTTCATGTTGCCATGTATGAAGTTTAGCTACAGTAGACCAACAATATAAGAGACAGATAAACACCACATTTATGAAGCGCCCAAAACATTTATTTGGTATCCTGCTGCTGACCGTCTTAAGTTTTTAAAGAGTATTTTACAATTGAGAATTGCAATCTTTACAGACACCATTCCTCCCAGCATAAAATATAGATTTGTTAGATTACACGTGGGTCAATATCACTGTAGGGTGCCTTTTGGTGTCCTGTACATAACTCATTTGCCATGATAACTTAACATAAAAATGACTATGAAAGGGTGTGTTAATTAGGCTAAGTTTTTATATTCATAACAAAAGCATTACTTGGCTCTTTAGATACATTTTCTAGATTTTTCTTTAGTTTTGTGTAAGAGGATGTGTGTTATTTTGCTATGTCCAATGCACTGCTCATTAAATTTGAATGATAGCAGAATATTGTCAAATCATAAAATGTAAAAAAAAATAGTTCTCCTATTAATATCTTGTTAAATAAGAGATTACTTAATTTTAGTGTATTGATCATTTGGTAATAAAAATGTTATTTTTATTTAATAAAAAAAGAAGAGTTTGTCCATGTCCCTTGAAGGGTTGTCCACCCTGTCCTATTGGGGAATCCACCCCTTTAAGAAAATAGCAATGTGATTGAGGATGTAATTATATTATTTATTATTATTATATTATTTTTTTTAGAAGTTGAATAAATGTTTCATTGTCATATTTTGTCATGCTTTGTGTGTTCTGCATTATGTGTCCACCCTGTTATGTGCTGGTCCACCCTGTCATCTTGATATTTTACACAAATATTTTAAATAATAATTAAATCATATCTATATAATCCAGTATGTTCAATATCTAAGTGTGGGGGCAATAACATGCAAACAAAAAACTGCATCCAAATATCACAGTTTTCTCCAAATAAGAAAAAAATACATGTGCGAATTGTAGGAGTTTCTTTAAAAACACATGGTTTACATAACATCTTTTATGTATTTATATTTTGAAAGCAAACAAATAACCCTGTTTAGGAAAGAGACATCATACCTTTCAGAAAATAAAATTTGCATCTTAATTTTACAATGAAAACGTATTTAACAGTAATATATATGTCCATGACAGCTGACATACCTTATGGTTTACTTCGAATAATGGCCCATAATTATCTAAAAAAATATGTGTGGGAGCTCAGCTAATATGTTTCTATAGTACTTGAGTGTCTACTATTTATGACATGACAAAGCGAATGGGAAATTAAAACCAACATTTTTGAGTATTGTGAGGGTTGAAAGGCACTCTGTGGTGATATTGACCCACGTAATAACGTTAATTATGAAAATAAACATTACATTATATAATGCACAATAGAGCTTTAGTTGGAAAATGAATGAGTAAAAATGTCTTGAAAATATATGTAGTTTTCCTTTTAATTAAAGTGAAGTGAAGTGTGGCCAAGTATGGTGACCCATACCCAGAATTTGTGGTCTACATTTAACCCATCCAAGTGCACACACACAGTATAGTGAACACACACACACCGTGAACACACGGTGCAGTGGGCAGTCATATTGCTGCGGCGCCTGGGGAGCAGTTGGGGGTTCGGTGCCTTGCTCAAGGGTCTCACCTCAGTCGTGGTATTGAAGGTGGAAGAGAGCGCTGGACATTCACTCCCCCCACCTACAATCCCTGCCGGACCCGAGACTCGAACCCGCAACCTTCGGGTTACAAGTCCGACTCTCTATCGATTAGGCCATGACACTACAAAGGACAATTATTTGTACAAAAATAAATCCACTTCTCTACTTTCATAATTTTTTTATACAATTTGATTTTCCAAAGTTTAATCAAGGTGCATTCAAAGTGCAATACTATAGTTTTAATTACAGTGGCATGAATTTAAGATAGTTTTCACAACAGAGTTCAGTCATGAGACTGATCTTAGATTAGATACTGCAGTTTTACTGCTCTGCATTAACACATGAGGTTGTGATCACAGTTACAGCACACTGAATGTTTCTGAAAACAGCTTTTATCTAGAGAGGCAGATGAGATCGGGAAATCTTTATATAACGCATGACATTCGTAGTGTTTGCATTGGATTAGTGGAGATTATTTATGACATTTGGTGTCTTTAGCTGTTACAGCTGTCTACACACAGTGGCATTGACCTGTGGGTGTATGTCTGGTCAACTGATGCATAGGAAATAAGAGGACATGGAAAGACCCACAGCAAAAGGGCATGGGATAGCCAATCTCTCCTTTCCTGCCCACACCAGGCCAATAGGGGTCACTTGCACCCACATACAGGAAGCCCAGTTACTTAGCAACATGGAGAGGATCCATTGCCAGGTGCTTTGACATTACATTCACTGTAGATCATTGTGGGAAAACTGTGGAATACAGCGCAATCTTTACTTGCCATACAGACACGTGCTGTTTAATCGCGTCTAGGTTACTTCCAAAACAAAAAAGTAACTATGAGAGGTAAAGCAAAGCTCATATCATAGTCTCCACCTCAAATAGCAAGTGTGGTCTGCCATTTTACAAAGTGCACACAGACAGCACTTTTTTACTACACAGTCATAGTACACTATGTCTTCGAGGGAAGTGCAAGGGACAAGAGATGCATATGTGTGTCTGTAAAACAATACAAGAGAGATCAAAACATTGTAATATTATCATTTTTAAGCTAAGAGATATTTTGTGTATTATACGTGTCATTGTTGAGCAAAACCTTTTTTGACAGGATTTGTAATCAAGGTAAGTGAGGTAACTGGACAAGCCTCACATTGCACATTACAGTTGTATATTGAAGTGATGTATTTTTTTTATAGCAAGTGCAAAATAATCTAACAAAATAATTAACAATTAACAACAGTCTCTTTTGTTTTCTCCCATCATCAAGACCTATCTCAAGCAAACATGACAACAAAAGGCAAAGTGCTTACTGCTTAAACATCTAAAAAAATCTAGTTCTAACTCCCAAAGTTCAGAGATACATTCAAAAATCCAGTGAGTTTAACGAATAAATTTGCCAAAATATATATTTTTTTTTACACATGATTAATTCTTTGAATGCTAGGCAGTATATTAAACTAAGGAGATGTAGGCATGACTGACTTATTTAATCGTTGCCCGTTTTGATGAAGCGCTGTGATTTCTGCCGTGCCATCTGATATTGCTTGCGTGCAGACTGGGCACTATCGATTCCTTCTCGCAGTCTCTGTGGAGCGTGAAGCAAAAGAGGTCAAAGAGGCCACCGTTTGTTCTTGACAGAAAATGAAAAGCTGTCATTTTGATAGCTATGTACTTTTACTCAGTGTAAAGGCATGTGAGCATGAAAGAGATAGAACTAGTGCAACCTGTGTATCTAGCTTAATCACAACTTGGCATCTGCAAAACAACTAACGAAATGCAAAATGCCCAGTGTCATATTCAACAATGGGCATTGACGTTTTGTTTGAAGGAAATTACATTCATTATAAGAATAGTTTACACAAAAATAAAAATGAACTAATAATTTACTTACCCTAAGGCCATTCAAGATCTATATGAATTTGTTTCTTCATTGAAACAGATTTGGAAAAAAATAACCATTACATAATTTGCTCACCAATGGATCCTCTGCTGTGTATGGGTGCCGTCAGAATGAGAGTCCAAACTTAAAAACATCACAATAATTCACAATGTTTTTATAAGCTTTATGATGGCCCACATTCAGTGCAGAGGATCCATTGGTAAGCAAGTCATGTAATAATATATATTCTCAAATCTGCTCCAATGAAGAAACAAAATCATTTATATCATAGATGGCCTGAGGGTGAATACATTTTCAGCAAATTTACAACAGTGAACTATTCCTGAAGCTAAATAACAATTTTCAAGCAGCAGTTTTAAGTTACAATCCACACAAAAAAACAAAACACACATCTGTGATGTTTACCTCCGCCGTGCCAGCATGTCTCATGTGTATCACTTTCACTAGCGTCTGTCCATCCTTCCTAATGAGGTTCAATTTGTTCTGTTCCTGCACCAACATCCAGATTGTTGTCAAGCAATGTTAATTAGTTGATCATGACTTTATCAGTACGTTTTAAATTATACACTCATCACTGTGCTGTTAGGAGGCCTGTCAAAGAAAGCCATTTATGTACCCGGTAATATATCTTCAAATCTCCTCCTTCTGTGCTTGGAGGCCTTTGAAAATTCTCAAATTGACATTCCCATTCTTTGTTGAAATGTCCAATCACATCGATCTCCTTCACACACATCACTCTCCTGCATGATAAATAAAAGAAATAAAAAAGGGAAACCTGGCAAAATGCCAGTGTTTTATCATTTTTCTGTTGTTGGAATACCTGTTGGTGATAAGGATGTTTGTTTTCCTGTGCCCTGGGTATTCATAGTGTCCTCTGAAGATCTCTCCATCCAACTGTTTTATCGCAGACCTCTGAAAAACATACACACTCATACAGCACAATACACCAAATACAGCACACACTGCTGTAGTGACCGCACCCGAATACTCTTTCAGCAATAATGATCTGAATCATAATGATCTTTATAAAAAATAAAAAATAAAAAAAAAGAAATCATCCAAAATGCAACTGATCATGGCAAAGAGGAGTATTGATTTATTCCAGATTATTTGGGTCAAATCACAGGATTCAAGCAATTAATACAATTACAACACAGTAAAGCCACATTAAACAATTACATGACAATTATGAAACACATGTGTTATATAAGATATAGCATATAAAGTATATAGGAAAATACACCAGACATTAATTCCAACATGCATTGTAAAATGCCCATTTAGTGCATATAAATAAGTTTGCATATTAATATGCACATTTTTATGTATTCACAATGATTAAGAATAATGTTTACATTCCATTTTTAATAAATATATTTTTATATAGACTGCAATATTGTGTTATCAGACTTTAGATTCATGGAAATGTATTTACAGACATAAATTCAAAGAAATTACAACGACTTTTAGAAAAATAGACAAACTTTGGAAGTTACACATCCTATTTCTAACTAATCTAATAATTGTTTAAATATTAATAATGAAAATCTATTATTGTTTGTCAGTGTGGCTCTAAAGTCTTAAAACTACCTTGTTATTTGTTTTTAAATTTCAAATAAAATATTCTGGGAAAAATAAGATATTAACTAATGAGGTTATGTTTGGATATATTTGGCATTAACTGATACAAAATAAAAGTATATACTGATATAAAACTGATATAATAAAAATGTCTGAGGTATAATGCTGGAATTATTTTTGGCAAAATTAATAGAGACGAAAAAAAAAATTTAGATAAGAAAAGTAGCACAGCCATAAAAGTGCACAAGACAGACAACTTCAGATGCAGACTTAGGATAATATATCATTTTCTAAACACAACGATGTAATATTCTATTATAGGTGGACCAGGCTAGACTGAGTCTAGTACTGGATATCCAGTTTGGTTCATTTAAGTGCTACAATGTCTCGGTGTTCTTAAATGTTTTCAGTAACATCTTTAAGGTAATAGTCCCAATCCCATCCCCCACTCCCAATTTACATTTCCTCAGGCTGCATTTGGGAAAGGACAGAAAAGAGAGAAAAAGGACAAATTAAATGAGTAGGCAAACAGGAATTCATTTCTTCACAGCAGGGTAGGAGTCAGTTCAACTTTGGAGTTTAAGGTCAGTTTTAATGAGGAATACAGCTGGAATTCTAACAAGGGGATTTGGAATTTGGTTGAGTTGAACACCACAGGTAAATTGAGTAAAAATGTAACTAATAGGTATCCCCATACTTCCCCAGTTGAATAATCACAGCACAATAAGAAAACTCTTTTGTTTTCCTGAAAATGGTGAGTTTAAATATGCACTAATTAACATACATTTCCTAACCAGAAAGCTGAGCATTAGATAAAGCCTAGTTCAAATTTCTCATTTTATTTTTGCTGACATATTAGAATTAAACGTTTTTATAGATGGGGATTTTGAATATCTCTGTTTATTATACCATAAATCCATATTTATGGATAAAGTACTTTCAACAGCCAGGGAAAAAAAAAACATTTCTGAAAAAAATGTTACATAAATCAGGCTGATATATGAACAAACCCCTCTGTAAAAAACCTTCCAAATATAAATAAGAATAAAACTGGAAAGTTTGGTGCATGTAAGTCCTACTGGCTCAGTGCATGAGGAAAAACGGTAAAACTATTTTAAGTTGTCCTTGTTACACACGTTACATGTACTAACTATCGTAATGACAATAAATTATGCATAATTACATGCAAGTAACCCTAAACTAAACCCTAATCCTAACCCTAACCATATAGTAAGCACATGTAGTTAATTAATATTACTCTGTACTTAAATGTATAATTACACTGTAACAAAGACACCTTAAAATAAAGTGTAACCGGAAAAACTCATTTTGAGGAAATGGCTTCTACAGATATCTACTATAATTGAAATCTACAGATGCAAATAGATAAAGTGTAATAAAATATACACTTAAATGTGTATTTGGATGTTTTCTTTCCACTAGTCTGAAATATGACAATGGAATGGAAGCAAAATAGTCCAAAATCTCAAAATTGACCAGTGCATGAAAAAACAATGGTTGTGCCTTAATCTGTCAAACTGACTCCAATCCTTCAAAACAATTTGGCTGTTAGTAGTTGTAAATTAAAACAGAGGATAAAGCCGATTAAAATCCTTCCCATTGGGGTCTAATAGCCTTGTCATTGGGGTTGACAAGTGACCTCACCTGAAAGAGGTCAAAGCCCTCCGACTCATGGTGGTCGTAGGGCCGTATGATGCCATCTTCTTGTATGAGACGCACTGGCCTTAATTTAGTCACCTCTTCAGTCGATTCTGCCACCCTGCAAATCAAGTCAGCAACAGCACATTAGAAAACCCTCACAAAGACGACATCCTGTGATCCAGTGATTTTCATCCATGTAAAATGCGTGGGCAATGGATGAGTCATTCTTAACAACAGGTAGTAAACAGAATCTACTCAATTAAAGTTCATCTGAGCATGCCCGAACAGCCTTGAACAAACGCAATGCATCTCAAGAGTCATTAAAAAAAGCGTCAACCTACAAAGTCTCTTTGTGCTATTGCGTGCAGTGTCTGATTCCTTAAGCCCTCTCTCACCTTTGGTTACTTCTACATTGCGAGCATGGAAAAGCAACGTGATTAGTTCATACAGACAGTGCTGATCAGTTCAGGTGTATAAGATGGAAAGCAGAACGAATGGTTGGATGGGAGGGGTGGGGGGAGGGGCATCACTGTTCCAGCTTGTCGTGAAAGGTTTGGCATGAAAAAGCCAGGGGCGGGAACACCGTAAAACACAACAGATTGGCCAACTCATTTTTCCGGGGCAGAATTGATGGCATGGGTGCACAATGTGATTGGTAAGCCTGGTCATCGACTGCCTTTGAATTCATAATGCTTCTTTTGCTATTGGTTGGAGAGTGCCTGGTCACACCAGGCAGTGCTGTGTCAGAGTCCAGTACATCAGCAGTGCAGTGAGCTCATGCGGTGGACTTGGTCTGACAAGAAGAGCAGTCGGAGACGGACATCATCCAAAGTTCACCCAAAAATGATACTCATTTACTCATTCTCATGTCATTCCAAATCTGTACGACATTCTTTCTTCTGTGGAACACAAAAGACATTTTGTCCATATAATGAAATTCAATGGACCCTTTTCATATTTCACAACAAATATAATTTTTTAATGGCCGTTTGGTCCAATAGCTAATGAAAAAAATGCATGATAGTGTTTCTGACTTTGTAAAAGAGGACAAAAATATGAAGAGACTGATTACATTGGTCAGATTTGTGTGTGTATGTTTTTTCTGTTCGTTTGTATGTCTTTTGATATGGATCTTTGAGCCTGAAAAAGTTAAATGAAACTAAAAATATATTTTTTGCTAGATTTATGATGTTAATAACTGTGGAAACAACTTGTCAACTCATCTGTAAAAAGGGTCCACAGACAAAAAAAGCCTGAAACATTTAAAAAAATAAAAATAATAAAAACTTATTTTATGTTCCACAGAAGAAAGAATTTATTACAGGTTTGAAATGACATAAGGTTGAGTAAATTATGAAAATTTTTATTTGTTCAAACTATTCCTTGAACTATGATTATAAGGACATTACATACTATTCAAATTGTTGATTTAAAGTACCATTTCTCTTAAACATAGTTACAAGTGATTATACGTGCTTTATCTGTACTTCCTCTCCTCTCTATATCATCTTTGCTCCTGTCTGTGCTGCTCTGCTCATCAGACTTTCCATTGGCCCCAAAATGCCCCAGTGAAAGGGGTGTGGAGATCAGAAGCAAATGTTACAATGATGGCAAAATTGGCATATGCTGATTAATCCAGTTATAAGGGGACTCTTGAACTGTAGATTATGGCAGAATTCTCTGGGCTACAGCTCACATCCTTTGCTTCCCATGATGCAATGCTTACCTTTCAACCATTCATACCCTGTAGATTAAAAATTCATTCATGCTGCAAAATTCACTCTTTTTTTGGACCCAGGAAACAAGCAAACCCAACTGAGTGAAAGCAGAGGGATCATTCACTGTCATGTCTTTGGGTAACATAGGCATAAATACAAATACATTCGCACTCCAGTCATACGCACATTTGCACACATACACACATACACACTCATGAGCTTCCAAATACTCACTGAACTAAAAAGAACAAACACATCCAGGAATTAACTTATGAAAAACATGAAAAAAAAGAGTCATAAAATTAGTTAACACACAGGAAGCACACCTCGCTTTTTTCAGACCGATGAGCTTTGTAAAAATCAACGCATTTCAGAAAGGCGGCGCATAGAGGAGAAACAATAATGTACAGTATGTGGAAAATAATGTGTTTTTTGAACCTTAAACCACATAAACACATTTCATTACACCAAATACACAAAATAATGTTCTTTTTAGCAGCATCATATGACCCCTTTAAATATTTGGATTAGGTAAGATTTATTTTTATTTTAATAAAAAGTCTCTTATGCTCACCAAGGCAGAATTTATTTGATCGGAAATAAAATAAAAACTGTGATATTGTGAAATATTATTACAATTAAAAGTAGCTGTCTCTCTTTTTTATTATATTTTAAATTTATTACAAAACTTTACAAACCCAAAACTTTTGAGTGGTAGTGTATGTACATGGTTGTCTGAATGTAAGTCTGTGTTTGAAGGCGTTTATGTAAATATAATATACATGTGCATGTTCGTCTCACCTCTGAATGCCCTGAAAAGTACTGCTTGCCATGTCTACGATGCCCCCTGTTGGTCTGGCCACCACTCCAACCAGGCCTTTCCCAATGCCCTTGAAGAAGCCTGCAGCCCCCTCTTTCTTCGCCCCTAAACCCATGACAGATATTTGTGCATTTTCAATTCCCAATAATAAAATATTTACTTATCTCATCACCGAATACAAAAACAGATCAAATTCATTCAAGTACGTAGGGATGCACCGAAATGAAAATTCTTGGCTGAAGCCAAAACCGAACAAAATGAAATACTGGGCCGAAGGACGAACAAGATTTTTCGAGTTTTTTCCCCCCATGTATTTTGCCAGTTTTTTTCACCACTGCACAAATTAAATAGCCAAAATTTGCTTTTTACTGTTTTGTCTTGCTTTTCAAAGAAAAAATCAATTACAAAACAACAATTTAAAAGCATTTAACACTGAACATTTTATAACATTCTAGCAGACATTATAGTTATACCAACAATGCACAATTTAACTTAAAATTAATAAGTTAGTAAAATAATATTTTTTTTGGCCATCAGACCCCCTTCTTGAATCAG